CAGACGCAGAACAGGAAAGTCCGAGCCGAAGCTCTTCCTGAGCTGGAGACGAGCCTTGCGGATCCAGTCGATCAGCACCTCAGTCACCTCACCCTTGCTGCGCAAGGGGAGGACTGTGGTGTAACGCGAGTAGTCGTCAACCACCAACAGGAAGTAGCGCTCGTAACCCTGCCCACGGACGGGGGCTGGGCCCCACACATCCATGTGAAGCGTCTGCAGGGGAGCCTCTGTCGGGGGGAAGTGGGAGGAGTGAGGAGTAGCCCGGAGGCGACCCTCGACACAGGGGACACAGGAAGGTCCTGGCCCGGAGGGGAGAGGAGGGAGAGACTGGGGAAGACCAGAGACAAGGACACGGGAAGCCATGCTCCGAAGACGGGGCAAGGAGGGGTGGCCAAGACGGTGGTGCCACAGGAGAGTCTCGTGAGACAGGAGGCGACAAGAACAGGGGGCAGACTCAGGACCTGACCGGGACGCAGCAGCAAGTACCTGACCCGACGCAGCCACCTGACCTGACGCAGGGACAGGAGGAGACTCAACGGTCAGGGTGTAGAGACTCGACCCCGGCCGACGCGAGAACGTGGCCAGGTGTCGGCCTGTGCGTGCCTCCGTGCAGTGGGTCACCCGCTGACTCGCAGGAGTGAACTGGTGAACACCCCCATCCTGCAGGTCCGCTCCACTCACCAAGTTCGTGGAGAACGAGGGAAGGTACAGACCCGACAGGGTGCCCGAAGGGGCAGCCGGTTACGGGAGGACAGTGGAGAAGTGAGACAGGACAGGACCCCCAGAGGGGTCAGCAAGGGAGACTGCAACCGGCCGGCCGAGCGGCGTAAGGGTAGTGCGGTCTCGAAAGAAGGAGCGAGAAGCTCCGGAGTCAAGTGTGAAAGTGAGGGAGGACGAGGACGACGCAGTACCTGAGAGCGCAGTCTCACCAGTACCTGAGAGCGCAGACGCACTGGCACCTAGAGCAGCAGCCTCACAAGCACCCAGCGCAGCAGTACCAATGCCCGGGTCGGGCTGGAAACAACGGTAACCCTCATTCTCCTCACTATAATCCACAACATACATAGCAGTAAGGATAGCATCAAAATCAAGATCAAAGATCGCTACACCAGCCCGTAGAAGCTCATCCCAGCGAGGGATCTCACTAGCCCCAGGGAACTGCTGACGCCAGGCGTCCGTCAGGCGGCCAAAGCAGCGCTGGGTGGCGTGGGCACCCCCACACTGCTCACCCGCGCGGTCGCCGGAACGAAGAACGTAGGTGCAGGGACCAGTACCCCCACCCCTCTGACGCCCAGCGTACCACTCACGAAGCTGCTGAGGCGAAGGGATGTCCCGCGAGCGCTGCTGCTGCTGCCGGTGCGAGCGCTGGCCACCACCACCGCCGCTACGCTGCTGGGTACCACCCCGACCAGCTCCACCTCCTCCACCACCACTGCCTCCTCCGCTGCCGCCTCCACCGCCTCCACCTCCGCCGCCTCCACCTCCGCCGCTGCCTCCACCACCACCGCTGGCACCACCACCACCGTCTCCGCCGCTGCTGCCACCACCACCACCACCACCCCCGCCACTAGTCCCGCCGCCACCCCCACTCCCTCCGCCGCCACCGCCGCCACCGCCACCGCCCCCTCCAGCTCCACCCGCGCCCTTGCCCCCCTTGCCCTTGCTGGAGCGACGTCTCCCACTAGGGGCAGACGCCGCGCCGACCGACTCAAGACCAAGCAGGTCGGCAGCAGCAGCAGAGGCAACAGAGGGCAGCAAGGGGGAAGGAGAGCACCCCTCAAAGATGGGGGTGCGAGGGTCACCACGAGAAGCACCTACAGCGACTATGCTCTTCTCCGCTGCAAGGAGGGCCTTCTCGAGGAGGTCGACGGTGAGGGTGGTGGGACAGACTGCGAGAAAGTGGTCCCTGACGACGCGAAGGGAGTCAGGGAGGCGCGCGACTACGTAGTAGAGAGCGATGTACATGGGGGGGGGGTTCTTAGCGCAGAACTCAGCAGGAAGGGCGGCGCGGTAGCGAGTGTCACTAGTGCGGAGGTGCGTAATGAGGTCAGCGACAGTGGGAAAGGCAGAGAGGTCAGGAAAGAGGTAGGGAAGCATGAGACGGCTCAGTGCAGCAGTGGCAGGGGAGGAGTAGCGCGCAACTACAGCATCGTACAAGGTCTGAGCACTCTTGTACTGACTAAAGTGCGCACGCTCAGAGGTAGGGAGGTGGCGACGCACAGCAAGACGTGCAGCAGCATCGCGGGTGGCCCACTTAGAGCGGACAGCGGGATCAGCATCAGCAGCAGGAGCAGGAGAGGCGCCAGAGGTGAGATCAAAGAGAGAAAGGTCGTCAGCCCTGTCGCACTGTAAGAACAGCTGCAGGTCGTCTAACCAGACCTCAAAATCAATGGCGCGACCCTCAGCGTCAAAAGCTAGGACACTAGGGGTAGCCATGGCGACGACAGCGACGCAGTGCAAGCAGCAGGGAAAGAGCTCGCAGTGGCAGTGGGACTGTGCTCACCAGGCAGGGCAGGTCGAGTAGGTATGCAGAAAGGCGGCTCAGCGACCTGGCGGCTCGGGTGCAGGGCGGCTCGGCTGCTGGGCGGCTCGGGCGCAGGGCGGCTCGGCTCCCGGGCGGCTCGGCTCCCGGGCGGCTCGGCTCCCGGGCGGCTCGGCGGCTCGGGTGCAGGGCGGCTCGGGTCCCGGGCGGCTCGGCGTCGGGCGGCTCGGCTCACGGGCGGTTCGGCTGCTGGGGCGGCTCGGCCAGGAGATCCAGGGGCGGGGCCGTCAGGTGCAGCGGCGGGTTGACCGGTGCAGTGGCGGGCTGGCAGGTGCAGCGGCGGGCCGGCAGGTGCAGTGGCGGGCCGGCAGGTGCAGTGGCGGGCCGGCAGGTGCAGGCGGCGGGCCGTAGGGTGCAGTGGAGGGCCGGCAGGTGCAGCGGCGAGGCCGTCAGAGGCGGCGGGCCGGCAGGTGCAGCGGCGAGGCCGTCAGAGGCGGCGGGCCGCTGGGTGCAGCGGCGGGCCGGCAGGTGCAGTGGCGGGCCGGCAGGAGCAGCGGCGGGCCGGCAGGGGAGGCGGCGGAGCCGAGTCAGGGGAGGCGGCAGGGCCGCGTCAGGGGAGGCGGCGGAGCTGCGTCAGGGGAGGCGGCGGTGCCGCGTCAGGGGAGGCGGCGGAGCCGCGTCAGGGGAGGCGGCGGGGCCGCGTCAGGGAAGGCGGCGGGGCCGCGTCAAACAGGCGGCGGGGCCGCGTCAGGGGAGGCGGCGGAGCCGCGTCAGGGGAGGCGGCGGGGCCGCGTCAGGGGAGGCGGCGGGGCCGCGTCAAACAGGCGGCGGGGCCGCGATCAGGAGAGGTGGCGGGGCCGCGTCTGAGGGACAGCGGGGCCGCGAGGGAAAAGGCGACCCGAGGGGTCGCTAAAAAAAAGGCGCGCCTCGGGGCGCGCTTCGGTGGGCCCTAAAAAAAACGGTCCTAAGGTAGGACCCGCTCTATACCATGTGAAACAAGGAAAACAGGAATGAAATGACTAAGGAAAGATTGGGTACAAATGCAACCCTAGAAACCCTGTACCCCATATGTGCTACCCCACTATAGCCTACAAACATGCATCAGCTATAATACTCTGACACATATCTCTCCATCAAGTGCACGACATGGCTCGTCCCTTCCTCGAATCATCAATTCCTGCGGAATACCAGAAAGGATTGATTCCTCTTCTCATGTTTTCGGCATTCTTGCGCTACTCCGACCTCGTCTCGCTCCAATGGAATGACGTACAGTTCGAGGAGAAGGCAATGTGGCTGCTCATTCCGCACTCCAAGACGGACCAGGAGGGGAGGGGAGTCTGGATCCCCGTGGCGGTAATTCCAGGCCCATACTGCCCGGTGAGGTGCACGCGCGCATTCATACACATCGCAGGCCTCACAAAGGTGCCCCATGGACCGCTGATAAGGGTTTTCCCAAAGAACTCACAAGCCACACCGAACGACAAATCGCCATCCTACGTTACGATCAGAAACTGGTGCCTCGCAGCCGGCAGGCAAGCTGGACTGGATGTCGCGCACATCGGAACCCACTCATTCCGCAAAGGCGCAGCCACTGCAGCGGCGAGCCTCGGAGTTCCTGACCGGCTCTTCAAACGCATGGGCCCATGGCGCAGCGACAGCGCGAAGGAGATGTACGTTACAATCGCGCAGGATCAGCTCATCTCCCTCTTTACGCAATTGCAGGATCCTTCGACGGCTCCCTCGCCCGCCACGCATCAGCTATCCATCGAACGCCACCGGCAGCCCCGACTACACTTGCCTCAGAAGACCCATATGAAATGATAACGCTGCCTTTGGCAGTCAGCCTAAGTACACTTTCACAATATGATAATTTTTGAAAGTGTAATGAAATGTAACACTTTCTAAAATTTTGTATTGTGAAAAGGGGTACGTGACCAACACAGCAAAGGTAGCGCCGAAGCGCTACTCACCCTCTTTTGCCTACAAAAGAGGGACGTGGGGACATTCGTCCCCACCCACGTTTTCATTTTCAAAATTGTAGTTCTGATTTCCCACCCGCCCACCCATTTGTGTATGCTGTTATGTAGACATATATAAGACGAGAACGATGTACTACAACCCATATGAAATGATAACGCTGCCTTTGCCAGTCAGCCTAAGTACACTTTCACAATCCATCATTCCGTTTAAGACGTAATTCCTTCAGACATATTTTCTTATTTCTTTATTTCAAACGGGCCGAATATTCTAGCAAGAGCCTTCGAAGATAGAGCTTCCAAACACATATGTGCATCGCAAGTCAGGAGCACTTGCGTGATGAACAAGCTCACAGCAAAAGCTACAGTATATTCCCCTTTCAATACCTAATGAACCTGGGTGGGGGGGGGTCATTGACTATGAGAGTATGGCTACACACACAGGTGACCGACCGACCGGCTTATAACCACCTACTACATGGCACTCACAACAACCAGCCTACACTCTATATGGTATAAAAAAAAAAATTGTGTACATTAGTTTAGAATGACGCGACCATAGCTCCGCTTTCACCACCAGTGCTGCTGCTGCTACTGCTGCTGTCCCCCAGGTGACCCCCCAGGTGGCCTATCCCGATTGGTCCACTGCTGCTGCTGCTGAGCTTGGCACTGGAGGGTGCTTGTCCATAGCACCTTTGAGCTCTGCACACCAATCAGCAATGGATGCCAGACAGTGGGGAATGGGCATAGGGCATTGCGCAGAGGGCATTGCGCAGAGGGCATTGCGCATTGGGCATTGCGCAGAGGGCGTTGCGCATAGGGCATTGCGCATAGGGCGTTGCGCATAGGGCATTGCGCATAGGGCATTGCGCATAGGGCATTGCGCATTGGGCATTGCGCATAGGGCATTGCGCATTGGGCATTGCGCATAGGGCATTGGGCATTGGGCATTGCGCATAGGGCATTGCGCATTGGACACACAGCAGTCGAAGATGGTCAGAACAGGGTTGGTAAGTTAGATTTCTCAAATTGGTAACCGAGAATTCTCAACAAGCAAAGTTGTCACTTGGAACGTGCGAGGTACCTTTGAATGTGGTTGAGAATGATCAAGCGAGGGCCGGGAGGGATCTTGACCTCCTGCAGTGCACTGGGAGAGGGCAGACAGGAGGAGAGGCAGGGAAAGAGAAGCAGGGAAAAAGAGGCAGCTGAGGATTCCACCATTCACGCCCCAAGCTTCAAGCAGCTGACCTGACCTGGGCGAGGTGATGGGCTGACGACCCACCCACCTGTCATTCAACAGTGGCAACGTGCGGTCAGTGGGCAGCCTCTTCTTGAACTTCTTCTCGTACTTGCCCAGCCCCAGCTGTTACTGCAGCACCTGTCATCGGGCACCCACCCACCTGTCATTCAGCAGTGGCAGCGTGCGGTCAGTGAGGAGCCCCTTTTTGAAGTTCTTCTCGTACTTGCCCAGCCCCAGCTCCTGCAGCATTGCCTTCGACTCCACGTACTCTGACGGCACTGCGTCGCCCTCGCCTGAGAATGCCTTGCCCAGCTGTACTCAGGGGAGGGGGGAGGATGGGGGGTGGGGGGGAAGGAAGGGTAAGTGCACGGGGGCTTGTCCCATGCCCCAGTGCCTGATGGATTGAGTGTGGCGGAGGAGGGGGTTTGCCTGCAGCATGGCCTTCGTGTGAACTCTGTTTACACGGAGGAGTGGGTTCGCGTGCAGCATGGCCTTCCACTCCATGTGCTCCGGCACCGCTGCATCACCCTCGCCTGAGAATGCATTGCCTAGCTGCAGGCAGATGGGAGAGAAGGGGAGAGGGGGCGCATGAAGGGGAAGGGAAGAGCGTGTGTGTGCATAGGAGTGCGCCTGCAGCATTGCATTGCCTTCCACTCCACGTATTCCGTCGGCCGCGTCGCCCTCTTCTGAAAACGCATTCTCTGCGGATGGGAGAGAAGGGAGGGGAGGGGGAGTATGTGCACAGCAGTTTGCTGTCGTGATCTCGCCTGAAAACGCCACATTCACACACCCACCCACCCACACCTGCACCCCCTCACCCCACACACACCTACACTCCCCCACCCCACACACACCTACACTCCCCCACCCCACACACACCTGCACCCCCCCACCCCACACACACCCACCCATCCACTCACACACACATACACCCTTCAACCCTCCAACACAGCCACACACCCCTCCCCTCGACCCCCATACACACACATACACACACACACACACACACACACACACATACACACACACACACACACACACACACTACTCCAAAGGTGCGCACCTGGAAGAAGGCCCCTTGGAAGATGGCAAAGCCGACGCCCGTGGAGAGAGCATTCAGCACCGCGTTGCCTGCTGGCCCGCCCACCCCGCTCACCACCGAAAACGCTATCCCCGACCCGAAGGCCGCCACCGCACTGAGAGCAGGGGAGAGGGGGGGGACGAGGAGGGGAACGTGGGGAGGGAAGGTAAGGAGCAGGAGAGGAGGGATTACGGGTGGCCCCCGCCCACCCCGCTCACCACCGAGAACGCTATCCCTGATCCAAACGCTGCCACCGCACTGCGACGTGGGGAGGGGACGGTGAATGGGGATGTGGGGAGGTAAGGGTGGCATGAAGAGGAGATGCATGGAGAGGGGTGGCATGGAGAGGGGAATTAGGAGGCATGGAGGGGGAAGGAGAAGACAGCATTGCAGACTGGTGGTTTGTTCTGAGGTGACTTTTGAGTCGACTCAAAAGTCACCTCATGGAGGGGGAAGGAGAAGACAGCACTGCAGACTGGTGGTTTGTTCTGGACAGAGAAACGTGCACTTGAATCAGATGTCGTATCCTCTGAGGTGACTCAAAAGTGAATCAGATATCGTATCCACTGAGGTGACTCAAAATGAAACAGATGTTGTATCCACTGCCGCGCCTCAGTGCCTCAGTGCCTCGATGCCTTCCATCCTGCCCCTCTCAACTCAACCGCCCTGCTCTGCTCTCCCTGCCCGTCATCGACCGCCCTGCTCTCTGCCTGCCTCGCCCTCCTCTCTCTCGGTTCCTTGCATGGCAGACAGACAGAGAGACAGTCGGTTCGGCATCGCCTTACGAGGCGCCTCAAAAGGCTTTTATCTCACGCCCCTTTGGAGCCAGTCGGCTCGGCGTCACAATCAACAGCTGGCTTGCTCATGAGTTTCTCGACCGTTTCTTTTGTGACTCCCGCCGCTTCCTTTTCTTTCCTTTTCCTCGTTTCTTGTCGCGTATCACCCTCATTCTATTGAGCCGCCTCAAAAGGCATGTCCTTGCACCCCTCACCTCCTTTCACCTACCACTTCTGCAAGTGCCCACCACCAATTCCCTTACCTACCACGAAACCACTTCTCCCTCTCCTTGTCTGCAGCACCTCTCACCTCGACCTCACCTCTCACCTCGACCCCCTCCCACCTTGTCACCTACCCCCTTACCCGTCTCCACCTGTTTTCACCGCGCGCCTCCTCTGCAGGTCCAGTCCCCACCCCTCACCCCTTATCCATCTCCACCGCATCCCACCGCGCACCTCGTCTGCAGGTCCTCGACGCCGCCGCGGGCGCGCTTCATGGCGGCCGTGATGCCCGCGTTCACGCCCGTCATCACCGCGAAGTTTCGCGCCTGCGTCCACGGGCCGCCTGTCAGCGCCTGTACACACACACCAGGACCAGGGCACGAGGGAGGGGTGGAGGAGGGGGTGGTGGGTGGCACGGTCGACGCGTGATGAGACGACTTCAGAGTCTGACGGCACGGTCAAGAATCGCCTGCACGCACACACCAGGGCACGACGGAGGGGTGGAGGGGGGTGGCGGTGGTTGGCACGGTTGATGTGAGACGAGACGATTCTTGCGTCGGATCAACAATCGCCTGCACACACACACCAGGCCACGAGGGTTCGAAAAGGCGGTCCACACAGCCTGCTACGCCACGAATCCCTTTTGAGTCATCTCGCTGTAGGCAGCGTGAACCGCCATACTCCACCCCTCGTGGTCACTCAAAAGTCATCTCGATACAACGACGCACGATCCCTTTCGAGTCGACTCGAATTCATCTCGCAGCCTACTGCGCCACAGATCCAAACGACCCACGGGAGGCAATCCCAGCATTGGAGGGCCAATTAAGTGGGGCTGAAGAGCGGTATCTGCAGCTATGAACGACGCTGCTTAGGAAGGTGCGACGGGGAAGGTGCGACGGGGAAGGTTCAGGGGTTAGCGACGTGATCGACGGCGGCAGCACGACGGACAGCAGTAGCACCGCTGTCCTTCGGATGGGCTGCTGTGCGCACGGGGTTCGACGCTCTGCGACTGGATTGTTGTGCGACAATGTTGATGTGCAAAAATGTCATTGCGCGACGCTATCGTTGAAGCGTACGAAGTCCGCTGGCTTTGTGCAAGTCTTTTTGTGGGTGTTTTGTTTCAGATTCGCGAAAACCAGTGAATTCGAACCGGCGGATCCGAACCAACCACGAGGCGACACGTCAAAGGGTTTTGTCATCAATGCGGCTCCGGCATCCGCAATATGATGAGCAACAAGGCGCAACCGCTCCCGAAACACGCGTCAAAGCCGCCGGCAAATGAACGTCCATGCCATGCCCAACGTCACGCGCGCATGGCGCCACGAGCATCAGAGGCTGCATGTGAGTCGCCTTATATCCACGCTGCTTCTGGCCTCTTGGATCCAGACACAACTCTGCGCGAAATCCAGATCTGGCTTCTCAAGGCGCACTATCAAGGATCCGCTCCCCTCCGTCGCTCCTCCAGTAACAGTGGGCGATCCAAAACATGACCCGATTTCAGAGATTGAATGAGCGACTCGCCTGCACGTCGAAGTCGCTAGAAAACTATCCAACCACACTCGACCACACTGAACCGACCTCGCAACGCACCTGCATTTGCTTCATCGACGCCGCGGCTTCCGGCGTCATTCCCGGCATGGTGGCCGGCGACGGCATGCTGCCGGCCGCCTCCGAGGTCAGGCTGCCCATCATCGCGCCGATCGCGCCGCCCTGCAGCGCGCTCGCCGCCGCCACGATCGCCACCTCCACGGGCGGCGGCTGGCGCGCGACCCACGCCTTGGCGCGCCCTTCGATCTCCTGGTACTTCGCCTGAAGCTGCCCGAGCACCATCGCGCCGACCGCCGGGAGAAGAGATTCGAGAGAAATTCGGTGAGAGGAGATTTGAGAGAAATTCGGTGGGGAGAGAGATTCAAGTGAGAAGATCCGGGGAAGACGATTTGGTCGCGACGATTTGCTTGGGACGGGCGGATCGGAAAACAGACGACGCGGGAAGGGAGGAAAGGCAACGCTGTGCAGCGAGGCGAAGTGGGGAGTGAGGCAGGAAAGGTGTTGTTGGGGTTGCGAGCTGCCTGTTCGATGGTTCAAGAATGAAAGTTCAAGCACGCGGTTGAACGGGACTGGCTTACAAGGGGCAGGCGGGCGAGCGACAGGTGTTGCTGCAAGTGCGATATGACTGGGTGAAGTGGGCGAGCGACGCGCGTGGGGCAAACGGGGAAGGGGAAGGGTAAGGGGACAATCAGGCTGACGTGTCCGCGAGAATTGGCGGGAAACTTCCGCTGAAATACACGTGGAAGGTACAAGGGAAAAGATCCATGGAACGCCGGCTTTGGTATTGAGCGAACGAGGATTACACTATCGAGGAAAACACAAGTGTGTAAAAGTAGGAATTCATATAGTTACTACAGGGTTTAGGGCTCTCTGATCAGATCAGATTATGAGACAGGCTGCCAAGTTTCTCTCAGTACAGCTAAAACAAGGCTGACCACTTGCAGGTTTCCAAAGCTGAAAGTCATTTTCACAAGCTTTTAGGCAGTCTAGATCCCGCAAATTTCATATACCATTTGAGCATAAGCAGATATCTTTCAAAGAGGTTTCCCTTAAAAATAACAAATAGTGATTCTACGCTAACTAGGTGGATTTCCAACTTTTGAAATTAGGGGCGATTAGTTCCTACTTCCCCAGGCAGTGCAGCATGATGGCATTTTGCGCATGCATGCGGTTTTCAGCTTGAGGGAAAACAATGGAGTAAGGAGCCTCCATAACCCCGTCTGACACCTCCACCCCCCTCTCCGCTGGTAGGCAGTGCATAAACAGACAGTCCTTGCCAGCCCGCGCCATCATCGCTTCATCCACCTGGCAACAATCATCGGGTCCAGGTGATAGAAGAGTTTTGATGAGGGGGAAACCATCAAACAGATTTGGTCAGAAACCACGCAGGCATGCACATGCACACACACCCTACCATGCGTGCCCTCCCTCCACCCAACGCACCTGGAAGCCTTGGAAAGCGGTTTTCCCCGCCTCAGCCTGCTCCTTCTGCCCCATGCTCGCTCGCACATCCGTGTACACCACGTTGCTGCCCCTCACCCCCTCCACCAGATCATTCGTAATCTCTTTCATGCTGCCCCTTTCCCCCACCCTCCCTTCCTCCTCCCTCACACGTTCTCTGTCTCCCTTCCCTCTTCCTCCCTCCCCTTCCCCTCCCCCCCACGCACCTGGAAGCCCTGAAAGGTCTTTTTCCGCGTCTCAGCCTCCTCCTTATACCCCATGCTCGCCCACACGTCTGTGTACACCACGTTACTCCCCTTCACCCCCTCCACCGGGTCATTCGTGATCTCGATCGTGCTGATCCCTGCTGCTCTCGCTCGCTCCACGGTGGCGGCATCGGGCTCGAAGCCCTTGGGGCAGACGCACACGAAGTGCATGGGGATCACTGCTGCCAGGCGCAGCCAGCTGTGCACTATGTTGTTGCCATCGCCCACATAGGCCACCTGTGGAATGGGAGTTGAGGTTGGGAAGAGGATGGAGTTAGAGTTGTATGGGGGAACGGGTGTGGAGAGGGGAGGAGAGGAAGCAGACCAAGTGCATGGGGATGAGTGCGGCCAGGCGCAACCAGCTGTGCACAATGCTGTTGCTGTTGCCCACGCATCCCATCGCACTCACCTTCATCACTTCGATCTGCCCCAGGTGTTCCATGATGGTGAGGGCATCCGCCATGAGCTGGCACGGGTGGTTGTATTGAAATAGCCTTATCATTGCCTACCTGAACCCTTTCCCACGTCCATCACATGTGCTCAGTGCTCACCACTCGTCTCACAATCTTGCCATTCATGACATCGACTCACACAAGTGATTACCCCTTCCCATCGCACTCACCTTCATGCCTTCGATCTGCCCCAGGTGTTCGATGATGGTGAGGGCATCCGCCATGATCTGGCACGGGTGGTTGTAGTCCGTCAGCCCGTTCACCACGGGGATGCTCGAGTACTTGGCCAGGTCGATGATGTCCTGTGGGGGATACAAAGGGGGAAAGGGGGAGTCAACAAGAGGGGAAGGGGGAAGATTTTATGAGACGACTAAAAAAAAAGGACTGAGCCTGTTCACCACAGGGATGCTCGAGTACTTGGCCAGATCGATGATGTCCTGATGGGGTAAAAGGATTGAAGGGGGAGTCAAGAAGGGGGGAAAAGGAGGATAGTTTTGATACGTCTCAAGAAAAGTCAAGCTTATTTTCACCACAGGGAGAGCTTGAGTGCTTGGCCAGATCGAGAATGTCCTGCAGGGGCGAAAGCTGGATAAGCGGGAGTCAAGGAGGAGCGAGAGGGTTGGGGAGGGGAGCTAGAGGGTTGGGGAGGGGAGCGAGAGGGTTGGGGAGGGGAGCGAGAGGGTTGGGGAGGGGAGCGAGAGGGTTGGGGAGGGGAGCGAGAGGGTTGGGGAGGGGAGCGAGAGGGTTGGGGAGGGGAGCGAGAGGGTTGGGGAGGGGAGCGAGAGGGTTGGGGAGGGGAGCGAGAGGAGGGGCTGCGGGAGAACGAAGATGAACACAATCACAGCAGGCCGTCAGCCAGTTCCCCACGTAAAGATGCCCCAGTACCCGCTTATCATGCGGCCAAAGTCCCGCGTTTCTTTGCGCTTCCCTAGCTGGATGGTGTTTTTTGAGTCGCCTCAACAGACGTGTACCCTGGTGGTGTGCAGAGAGCTTTGATTCGTTTCAGATCAGAACCATCCAGCCAAGAGGAGTGTGCCAACCGTACCTGGCGTGCAAAGAGGCGGACCATGACGATATCATTTATGCACTAATAATCAGGTGGCTGATGTCCCTCGTGATCCAGAATTGCTCTTGAGACACCTCAAATCCAACAAGGAGTGTGCCAGACGTACCTGGTGGGCAAACAGCCGGGCCATGATGATATCATTGTACCCGCTGATGACGCGGCTGATGTCCCGCGTCTCCTCGCGCTTGCCCAGCTGGATGGTGTCGGGGCCCAGGTAGAGCGCGTGGCCGCCCAGCAGGAAGAAGCCCGACTCGAAGCTCACGCGCGTGCGCATGGAGGGCTTCGTGAATATCATCGACATGGTGTGACCCTGGGGGTGGGAGGGAGGGGGGAGAAGGTTTATGACATGATGTCACGCGTGTATGGAGTGGCAAGTCAGGAGGACGGGGGAGGGGGAAATGGATGTTGAGGAAAACGAGCCGAGCGGCTGAACTTGGCGAATGGGGGGGCAAATTGGACAAGGGTTGGCCTTCACATGATAAACACTTACAGGACTTGGAAGACATGTGATTTCCACTATGCACATGTGATTGTGTACATAAATGATTCCCCTCGTAACATGAATGAGGTTGAGAGGTATAATGCAGTAGAGTGATCTCGGGACTAATTGACTGCGTTCTTTTCCTTATTGACAGGCTTGATCGAGAATGCATTCTAAGTTGACCGAAATACACCTATGTTTCAGGGTTTTTTTTTAACAACCAAACACGCCCTGCAGCTCTGTAGTCAACTGACCTTGGGCTTAGGACTCTGAGGCGGCTTAAACGTTTCTGGAGTGCAACGCTATGGTGAACTGACTGACCTTAAGGGGCTGGTAGGAGCGATCGCCAGACTTGATGATCGATTTCACTTCTTTGGCGAGGTTGAGGATGTGGAGGATAGTATCCTTATCGAAGTCGTCAATATGGAGGAAATGCGTGGGAGCAGCTGCAGCAGCTGCGGGAACATGGGTTTGAGGCAAAGAAGAATGGTTGTGAGATGGCTACAGAAGAGTGATTTTCTTTGGTTGATTCATAAGGTACTAGATGACACTAGGAATGCAACGGACCAGATACAGAGAAAGGAATACAGAGTCAGCTTCTATGAAAAAAAGCCCTTTATGTATGCACGTACCTAGAACGGAAACTGATGATCTGGCAGGAGAACGAACGGCAAGTTTCCGCGAAGCAGCGGCGCGAGTCACAGGCATCTTCTGAAATTCGCAAAAACGACAATGCCAGACTGTGAGAAAGAAATGTGGAGCTTCACCTGCATTTCAGAATCTAAGAACGAGCCCTTTCAGATGTTATAGGTCCTTGAGCCTCAAAAGGAGAAGCAGGACTTTGAGCCTTGACGTGAGAAGCAGAAGCTTGAGCCATGGGGTGAGCCCATGTGTTGCAATGCAACCAATCATTTGAGAGGAACCTTAAAACGCGTACCTTCAGGCCGCTCCATGTGTGTTTTGAGTAGTCTCAGAACAAAATGTTCTATGAGTAAACTCGGAACTAAGTGTGTGTTAAGTCGACTCAAAACAAATTTGTACCTTGAGGCCGCTCCATGCAGCGGATTCGCTGATGAGCGACTTGGTCGCAGTAGCAGTGGCGGCCTGCAAGAGGATCCAAAAATGGAAGAGGAACCATGAGAATAAGACCAGTCCGGGACAAGGTGTCAGAGTGGCTGCAGTTTTGAGAAGACCACCCTCGGGATTCCAGTCTTGAAACTCCTAAAAACGAGATGCACGCGTTCCGGCTGGGCCAAGAGGCGCAGCTGATGTCGCGAGACAAAGAAAGAGGCGCGGCTGACTGGTCCTATAATAATAAGAGAGGCTGGAAGTTTTGAATTCCGAAACGAAGCGAAAGCGTACCATGGTAGGCTTGGGGGTGGTTTTGAGCTCGCTTGGACTGAGATCTGGCTTTAGTCGAGCTTCGTTGGCAGCCTGCGAGGTAGAAGACGGAGACAAGATGCATTGTTGAGTTGATTTTCCACGTTTTTTGTAGGATATGTTTGTAACATCCCCAAGGCTGGATTGAACTTGCAGAATGTGGTCCTCTGCGATATGATGATGGAGGGAAGCGAACCGAGGATATACACAAGTTTATGGCCGGGTCCAGAGTTAAGTCCTTCGTTCCTTTCTCTCATTCGCTACGGGTAACGGCGAACACGAATCATCGAACTCACCGCTCAGTTTCCAGCTTCTCGTTAAGTTCCAGACCTCGACAGCTGGCATCTGTACAAAATGCAGCATTTTAAGTCGCTGCTCTTGTCAAATATTTCGGTGGACTTGGGAGCGACACGAAGCCCACGAGCGTCTATGACAAGTCCGAGTTCCAAAACGCAAATCTTACGAGAATGTCGGAGCACCAACTTACCTCGAGAGATGGCTAAAGAAGGTGAAAATGAGCAGCTTCGCTTGTTGTGCGATTCGTTCGGTAAATTTCTCAAAACCGAGTTTCGCCGGACCCACCTGGAAAGATGGCTCTTGCGAGGGAATTCGAGCAGCTTCGCGCCTGATGACAAGAACGCGACGCTGATATCAAAAGCTGCTAAAAGCTCGACTGAAGCAGAATGGATACGCAAGACCAGCCCGCAGCAGAAGTAATCTGAGCGGCAGTATCTATGGCTTCTCAGATTTCAGCTTGCTTCAGTGGAGAAATCAGGGAGAATTGGAGGCTGTGGGGAAGAAACGTGACCAGACCAGACCGAGGGAGGGACAGCTGGAGAGGCGAAATGCTGACGAGGATCAACGGCAGCACACCAGCAGCGTTTGATTGGTCTGAACACAGCAGCAGCTTCGGATTGGTCAGAACTGGAAATTGTGATGGGTTACAATACGTTTGATTCGTCAACGAAAGCCGACAGAGGCAGGGCAAGTGCTCCATGTGTCACGTTCTTAGACGTTGCGAACAAGCGTATGCCCGAGCAATGGATGTCGACGAAGTTCGTTTGAGAATCGTTCTCTAGCCGGAATTTGCTGAAACAGGCGTAGGAGATCTCAGCTGACGACGACTTTTCCGGCTACACAACGAGATGAGCAGAACACAGGCAATCTACGGCCCTGTTCGGCTGCACAAAAAAGCGGTCACAACCAACCACTACCAACCACAAACAGAACAAACCGAACAGTAAATAAGGCTCGGGACTCTTGCTGACTCATGGTGACGTGAAAAACTCCCCTACGATTGGTCGCATTTTCGAACATCTTTCCTAACCAGTTTCGTATTTGTTTTAGGTTTGTTGTTGGTTCCATGACAACCCAACAGTGCCAACCAACAAGAAGTGCACAGTAATTCACGGGCAAAATTATTGGTAGTGCTGATCCTGGTTTTGAAGTGGGTGAGACTGGTTGTTGTTTCATTATGAGAGATATGCTGAGAGCCCATTGGCCAGAGCACGAAATGTGCTCCTTCATGGAATTTGCTGCCCAGGTTCCTCTGGGGTGGTTGTGGTTGTTGGGTTTCGAGATTGGCCCTCTGGGGTGTTGTCTGTTGCGGGCAACATGCAATTGAATCCCCACGTTTTCGTGTCTGCTTTCACAGCTGGAAGGGTTATACGGTAACCCACAATGGTTTTGTATTTTAGCCAGCAGAGCTTTGGACCGAGCCTCTTTTGTCATTCCGGTTTGTTGTGTTGTTGGTTCGTTGAGCCTGGCTGCCAAAGTGATGCCGAACAGGGCCTACGTAAGGGCGTGTCATGCTTGGTGAACTTTCGGTTCATTCTAAGCGGTTCACTACGATATTGTGTTTTCTAAAGCGGTTTGTACTCTTCACCGCTCTGAACCGCTACATACCAGCCTAAACAGTGATTCATGAGCTGTAAGCTCCCTCGCCATGACACGCCCTAAGTGTTCGTCTAGCAGGGTTCAACACGTTACAAAGCGTTGAGCAACGGCTATTTATGCCTTCCAACCCTTTTGACCGTTGCGCACCAGACTGAATCCTACCACACGAACACTTGATCCCCCGCTGAACACTTGAAGGAGCAGAGACGGTGATATGAATTGTTGTTCCAGGTGCAATGGATAGAAGTAGCGAGAATTGCACTAAGGTGTCAAATGAGAACAAAATGTGAGCTATTACGAGTGCAATTGAGTGAGCGAGCGAGAATTGCACTATCGAAGCAAGAGTACAATGAGCGAAGGCATGAGCGAAGAATATATAGAGAAACTACAGTGGTAACGGTAATGGACTCTGGTTGTCGCGTGACGGGCCTGGGACTGAGGTTAGGAAAAGTGTCAAAGCGGAGGCCCGGAGAGCGGGTTACTCGCCGAGCCGTGAGGTCGGGGTGCGACGTGCGAAGGTGGCGGGAGGATTGTCGATGCAAGAGTTGCGAGTGGTAACAGTGCTGACTGTGGTGCTACTACAGTGGTGTACGCGCTGGGTGGGGACGCGAAATAAGGGAAAGGGATTTTCCTTACACTACCCCCCCCCCCCCCCCTTAAGGAGGTCCTCCGTTACGAAAGTGCGTGTACATCCCCGAAGTTCTAGCTGCGCAGATACCCGGTGAGGACGGGGTGGTTTTCGATTCTGTCCAGGGGAACCCAGTGTCAGAATATTATAGCTTACTTATTTGTGTAGGCTATAGTCGGGTATCCCATAGGGGGTACAACCCAACTAGGGTTTCCTACTTGTACTCACTTCATTCATAGTCATTTCATTCTCGTTCGCTTCTTTTCATGGAATCAGAGCAGGTTCCCCTGTAGGAACTGTGGTTAGGGCCCACCACTTAGAAATTTTTTTTTTCTGCCCTAGCGCCTTGCGCCCTAGCGCCTACCCTAGCGCCCGCCCTAACGCCCTAGCGCCCGCCCTAGCGCCCGCCCTAGCGCCTGCCCTAGCGCCCTAGCGCCCGGCGCCCGCCCTAGCGCCCGTTAGCCGCCCGCGGCCTGTCCGTGCGCTGCCGCCCGTGCGCCGCCGCCCGTGAGCGCCGCCCGTGAGCGCCGCCCGTCAGCGCAGCCGCCCGTCAACCGCCGCTGGTGCGCAGCCGCCCGTGACGCCGCCGCCCGTGACGCCGCCGCCCGTGAGCCGCCGCCCGTGAGCCGCCGCCCGTGAGCCGCCCACCTGCACGCCGCCCGCCCGTGAGCCGGCGCTGCCAGTGAGCCGCCCGCCCGTGCGCCACCAACCCGCCCGTGAGCCGCCCGCCCGTGAGCCGCCCGCCCGTGAGCTGCCCACGACGCCAACACCGCCGACGCCGCCCGTGCACCGCCGACGCCGCCGACGCCGCCCGTGAGCCGCCAACGCCGCCGACGCCGCTGACGCCGCCCGTGAGCCGCTGACGCCGCCCGTGAGCCGCTGCCGCCGCCCGTGAGCCGCTGACGCCGCCCGTGAGCCGCCGACGCCGCCCGTGAGCCGCTGACGCCGCCGTCGCCGCCCGTGAGCGGCCGACGCCGCCCTCGAGCAGCCCGTGTAGCTGCCCCAGCCGCCCGTGCAGCCGCCCCAGCCGCCCGTAAGCCGCCCGTGCGCCGCCCGCGAGCCGCCCCAGCCGCCAGTGAGCCACCCGCGAGCCGCCCCAGCCGCTCGTGCTGTCGCCCGCGAGACGCCCGCGCCGCCCGAGCCGCCCGAGCCGCCCGAGCCGCCCGAGCAGCCTGAGGTGTCGGCCTCCTGTTCCTGTGGGGCTGCTCCTGCTCCTGGGCCGCCGTAGCTGCTGTGCTGCTGTGTGGCTGTACTCCTGAGCTACCCAACTCTTCCCGCCCGGTGAGACTGTCAGCTGCTATAATGGTCACCCCCAGTGTCCTGTCTTTTGACGCTGAGGGTCGCGCCATTGACTTTGCAGTCTCGGTCGAGGACCTGCAGCTGTACTTACTGTGCGATGTGATAGATGAGGTTTCTCTCTTTGACTTTGTCTCTGGCGCTGTCCCTGCCCCTCCTGCTGATGCTGACCCCTCTGTTCGCTCCAAGTGGGCCACGCGCGATGCTGCTGCACGTCTTGCTGTGCGTCGCCACCTCCCTTCCTCCGAGCGTGCACACTTTAGTCAGTGCAAGACCGCTCAGGCCTTGTACGACGCTGTAGTTGCGCGCTACTCCTCCCCTTCCTCCGCTACACTGAGCCGCCTCATGCTACCGTTCCTCTTCCCTGACCTCACTGCCTTTCCCACTCTCGCTGACCTCTTTACCCACCTCCGCGCTAGTGACACTCGCTACCGCGCTGCGCTTCCTGCTGAGTTCCGCGCCGCAAACCCTCCTCCCATGTACATCACTCTCTACTTTCTAGTCACCCGTCTCCCTGAGTCCCTTCGTGCCGTTAGGGACCAGTTTCTCTCTGTCTGTCCCACCACCCTCACTGTCGACCTCCTTGAAAAGTCCCTGCTATCGGCTGAGAAGAGTATAGTCGCTGTAGGGGCCTCTCGTGGTGACCCTCGCACCCCCATCTTTGAGGGGTGTTCTCCTTCCCCCCTACTTCCCTCTGTCGCCTCTGCTGCTGCGGCCGACCTCGTTGGTTTGGAGTCGGTCGGTGCGGCGTCTGCCCCCAGCGGTAGGCGCCGCTCTGGCAGGGGCAAGGGGGGCAAGGGAGCGGGTGGAGCTAGCGGGGGCGGTGGCGGATGCGGTGGAGGCGGCGGGGGGAGTGGGGGTGGCAGTGGAGGTGGTGGCGGGAGTGGAGGTACTAGTGGCGGCGGTGGAGGCGGAGGTGGTGGCAGTGTTGGCGGTGGGAGCAGCGGGGGCGAGGGTGGCAGTGGCGGCGGTGGCGGCGGAGGCGGGGGTGGCGGTGGTGGAGGTGGTCGGAGTGGCTCGTCCCAGCGGAGCACCACTGGAGGTAGTCAGCGCCAGCAGCAGCAGCAGTAGCAGCAGCGCTCTCGCGACGTCCCCACCCCTCAGCAGCTCCATGAGTGGTACTCCCAGCGTCAGCGTGGTGGGGCGTTCGGTCCCTGCACCTACGTCCTTCGCACCGGCGACCGTGCGGGTGAGCAGTGTGGGGGCACCCACACCGCCCGCTGCTGCTTTGCCCGCTTGACCGACGCTTGGCGCCAGCAGTTTCCGGAGGCCTCTGAGATCCCCCGCTGGGGAGAGCTGTCTAGGGCTGGTGTAGCTATCTTTGATCTTGACTTTGATGCTATTCTTGCTGCCATGTATGCTGTGACTGTTAGTGATGAGGGTGACTGTTACTGGTGTTTCCCGCCCGATCCGGGCATTGAGTCTGCTGCTCTAGGTACTGGTGCGGCTGCTGCCCTAGGTGCTTGCGACGCTGCTGCTCTAGGTGCTAGTGTGTCTGCGTCCTCAGGTAATGGTGAGTCTGCGCTCTCAGGTACTACGTCGGCTTCGGCCTCCCTCACCTTCACCCTTGACTCTGGGGCGTCTCGCTCCTTCTTTCGGGACCGCACCACTCTCACGCCGCTTAGTCCGCCGGTTGCGGTGTCCCTGGCTGACCCCTCTGGGGGTCCTGTCCTGTCTCGTTTCTCCACAGTCCTCCCGTGTCCGGCGGCTCCCTCTGGCACCCTGACTGGTCTTTACCTCCCCTCGTTCTCTACGAACCTGGTGAGTGGTGCTGACCTACAGGATGGGGGTGTCCACCAGTTCACTCCTGCTCGTCAGCGGGTGACACACTGCACAGAGGCTAGCACAGGTCGCCACCTAGCTACGTTTACACGTCAGCCAGGGTCGAGCCTGTACACACTGACCACTGCTTCTCCTCCCGGTGCTGAGTCTGGTAGAGTCCCTTTGTCTGGTCAGGTGTTTGCTGCAGCGTCCAGGTCTGGTCCTGAGTCTGCCCCCTGTTCGTGTCGCCGTCTGTCTCACGAGACTCTCCTCTGGCACCACCGCCTTGGCCACCCCTCTCTGCTTCGGCTCAGAGGCATGGCCTCCCGTCTTCTTGTGTCTGGTCTCCCCCGGTCCCTCCCTCCCCTTCCTCAGGGCCCTGGCCCTGCCTGTGTCCCCTGCATCGAGGGGCGCCAGCGTGCTGCCCCTCACTCCTCCCAGTTTCCTCCGACAGAGGCTCCGTTGCAGACGCTTCACATGGACGTGTGGGGCCCTGCCCGCGTCCGTGGACTCGGTCACGAGCGCTACTTCTTGTTGGTGGTTGACGACTACTCGCGTTACACCACAGTCTTCCCCTTGCGCAGCAAGGGTGATGTCACTGAGGTGCTGATCGACTGGATCCGCGCAGCTCGTCTCCAGCTCAGGCAGAGCTTTGGCTCGGACTTTCCTGTGTTGCGTCTGCACTCGGACA